GGGGGGGGGGGTTTCCCCCTTGGGTGTCGTTTCAGAGCTGTACCTGGAAGAGCTTGCGGACCGCATCATTGAGGTGGACGTGGAGTGCCAAACGGACGCCTTTCTGGACCGGCCAGCCACTCCGCTCTTCGTCCCTGCAAAGACTGGAAAGGATGTGGCTACTCAGATATGGGAAGGAGAGGTACAGACAGATCAATGGATAGGTTGATAGATTGATTGACTGAATTAATAGATGGATTGATGACTTCTAGAGCGCTCAGACGAGTAGCAGAAATTCATTGCTTTTTTTTTCCAAATCAAAGTAGCTTTCCGAATTCTGATTTCTGGCCCGGTTTCTCTTCCCCTTCAAATCCCCCCCCCCAGCTTTTCGATTTTGACCTCGAAGTCCGTCCGATGCTGGAGGTTCTGGTGGGGAAGACTATCGAGCAAGCCCTGCTGGAGGTGATGGAGGAAGAGGAGCTGGCCGATCTGCGAGCCCACCAGTACGCCTACCACGAGCTGCGCCTGGCCGAACTTGCTGAGGTCCAGCGCCTTGAGGAGCAGGAGAGGCGGCACAGAGAGGAGAAAGTATGAGGCGCTTTAGGGCTAGAAGGCTGTGGGGGGGCGAAAGGGGAAAAGACCACCTTATAAGCCCCTATCTCAAGTTTTGAATTTCTTGCGATTGTTGGAAAGAATCCGGGGCTCCTTTGGCAGGGGTGTGGCAGTGCACTGAATTAAGTCCAGAGAAGTTTTTAAAAGGCCAGCTTTCTTGGGCAGGAACGTCGTAAGAAGCAGCAACTGCAGGCCCTGCAGAAGGAGAAGGAAACGTCGGAGAAAATAGCCGCCCGGGCCTTCGCTCAGCGCTACCTCTCCGATCTGCTCCCCTCTGTCTTCGGGAGCCTCCGAGACAGCGGGTATTTCTACGACCCCGTGGAAAGAGGTGCGGGTTTGCCTGTGTACAGGATTTGCTCTTCCCTTGCAACATCTCAGAATGGACATTTGTTTTCACCTCCTCCATTTCAGTTATTTTTTTGGTTCTGTGTTTATCCCACAATGAGCTTGAGGCTCATCTTCCTTCCTTCCTGTATCCTCGCACGGACCCTGAGGTTCAAGATTCAGTGGGGTGGGGTGGAGGACTCAAAACAAGGGGTCCCCAGCTATAACACAACCCTCCAGCCACGAATAATACCCGTCACAATACTCTGGCCATGAATAATACCGGTAACGATACCCATTCTTGTCTTGCGCAGACATTGAGTCAGGCTTCGTTCCGTGGATGATGGACAAGGTTGAAGAAACCATGGAGAAGCGCGTGCTCGGGAGAACAATAGCCGACAGTGAGCTAAATCATCTATATTTTAAGCCCCATTTTGCTTTTCTTTTCAAAATGATCTGTTGTGGCTTCTTGTCTGCTCCGAATCCATCGGTGGGTGGATCTGTGTGGCTCTTTCCTGAGCTGTCCCGACGCCTTTAAGATGCTTTCCGAGACGTTAAAGGGAGACTTCCGCTTGGCTTTTTTAAAATGGGTAGACAAGGAAGGGGGTGCCCCTTTTTTGCTCTTCTGGGGTGACTGGGACTTACAGAGTCTCTTCACACCCTTTGCGGGGTGAGCTTTAACACAGTGTCCTCTTCCCCTTCTCAGGCCTAATTCGCCAGGTGACAGAAATGCGGCTGGAATCTTTCCAGCAAGGGGTGCTTCTGTACCCCTACCAAGTGGAAGTTGTGCAGCCTCCCGAGGAAGAGGAGGGTGGACAGGAGCCAGCGGCCGAGGAAGTGGTGGCCGTTTCCCCTGGAGAACCGGAAGCCATGGTCCAGCCGGACGCGCCTCTTCCACCAGAACCATCCGACCTGCTGGACGTGGTGGATCCTCTGGGAACACCAGCCCAGCCAGAGGCTCCCAACGAAACGGATGTGTCTGATCGGCCACAGATCGTGGGTCAGCCCGAAGTTCCTGATCTGCCAGAAGTGCCCGATCAGGGCAAAGGGGAGGGAGACCCGGAAACGGATCCCTCTGGACACCAGGAATAGCCAAACGAATCAGGTGAGAGGAAGAACCTCACCCACCCACCCACCCACCCCCCAAAAAGTGGTCTTCAGACTCTGATTTTTGAGTTCATATAAGGCCGATTCAAAATGCTGTTGGTTGGTTGGTTTATCCGTGATTGGTGAAACCCACTTAAATGGTGCCCTCCCCTGCCACCAGCTTGATGCCAAAAGGATGCCCCTCTCTGCCATTTTCTGCCGCTAGAGGTCAGCAGAACCATTGGGAGAGGAATTAAATAAAGCCAGAAAAAAAAAAAACAGTACCAACCACCTCTCTGTAAAAACTCCTAGGTTTTAGTGATCCTGAGGTCTGCTAGCTGAAAATGATGATGGGGTCAAATTTGGGGTTAAGGGACATCATTGCGGAATGAGCCCGAATAAACAAGACCTATTTGTGATTTGATGGTTTTTCTCCACTCACGACTAACATCCAGTGCATGGATTCTCCTTGGCTTTCGTGAAAGAAATTAAGCAAGGGAGAAGCTTCATGTGTTTAGCTTCTGCTCGGAGTTTGTGGGATTGGGCCCCTTACAGTGTCGTTGATGTGCTGTTCCCAAAGAAGCCACTGCCTTGATCTGCTGCGGCAGCATCACCCACAGAAAAATAAATCCAATTTTTGCTAGTTTAAGCACCCGGCGTTGTTGTTATTATTTCGCTTGGCTGGAAGCATGGAGGATTGGACCGGCATTAAAGTCTCAAATCTTGCCATCATCTTTTCCAGGGAAACTCTGCCAGGAAGACGTTGTGTTGCTGATTCTTTGGTAGAAAGGAAGAAAGAAAGAAAAAAGGACAGAAATATTGAATTTAATTTTAGTCCCGGTGGACAAGTAATAAATCGAAAGCTCTATTTTTCCCCCAAAAAAATACCTTCTAGGTCTTGGTTCTCCTAACAAGAAAACCACTCAGTCCTGATGCCCAGAAATCTTTACTGTTAGTTTCCGATGTTTGTTTTTTCATCCGTCACATCAGGTGTTATTGCATCAAATGTTTAAATGTGAGGATTTTGCTGTTGTTGTTAAAAATGTGCTCAATCCTAGGGGAAAGGTTGACAAATGTTGGTTCTTTAAGTCCTACAGATGTGACTTGAGTTAGAGATTAATTAACCAGGAAAATGAACATGCCTTTGATTTCGGAGGGAATGAATGAGAAACGTCTGCCAGTTTGTAGGTTTGGGTTTGAGAAACTTTATTTTTATACTTATGTCTTAAAGTTTATGTACATGTTAATGTATATGTTTATACATAAGTTTATGTATAGACATATATAATGTTATATACATATATATATATATATATGATTTATAGAAAACATAGAAAAATGTAGAGTTATTAGTTGCTCCTGAAGTCTGATATGTTTGTGACTTCCATAATACAGACTTTTAAAATATATATATTATTTTTCTGGTATAACATGGAATCACTGAAGAGGTACACACGTTGACTAAAGTTATATCCCCTGTGTCCATCCCTACTGGTGTTAATTATTTCATTTTAAAATATGCCATGTTGCAAAATATTCTTTATTCAGGACCGCTTGAGTTCAGAAGGCACTGAATTTTCTTGGATAGCTCAGTACCATCCGCTCTGTTCTGTTTTTAGCTGTGTCCAGTGGACATTGTTCATGTCCTCAGGCGTGTGCGTGTGTGCGTCCATAAAGAAATGCATGCTAGGCGCCCCATGCTGGAAAATTTAGACTGAATTTCAAACTGATCATAAATCTGATTTTATGCCTGACTTCCGCAAAAGGAGGAACTTGATCATTCTTTTTCTATGACCCGAAAGAAACCATTGAGCAGGTAAACAGGGTGGCTCACTTTGTTGATCAGGGCACCTTTGCTCCCCAGATTTTAAATACTTCCCCCCTTTTTTTGAGGAGTTTCAATCCTTATTTATTCTCCAAGGTGGTTGACAGGTTACAAAGACAGAGAACCGTGTCCTCTTTTTTTTCTGAAACCTTCCTCCTTAAAGGCTTTTCTCCAAATCCAGAGGCTTGAAGGTGGGTGGACTGTGGTGGACTCCAACTCCCAGATGCCCCAACCAGGACAGCCAGGGGGCAGGGGATGATAGGCCTTGTAGTCCAGCCACCAGCGGCCCACCTTGGTGCGTTTCAGTCCAGTCTTCGTGATCCACCGTCCGGGTTGCTAATATAGGGTGCCAGGTGACTCATGAATATCATCCATGCCACGGAGAGAACTTCACTAACGCTTGCTACTGTTTGGTGTCCATTCCGAGCGGGAAAAGTCTGTTTTCAAGAAAAGCATTTTGGAAAATCCTACTTCGGGGACAACAGTTTCCGTAATTGCCCAAACCAGGAGACTGCCTGGGAAGGGGGGAAACTTAGGGAGTCACAGGCCCCCGAAGGAATTCCCATCAGGGATCCCCTTCGCTAGAAAGCTAGCATGGCAAGGAAAAACAACCCAGCCTCTCTTTTTTTGGCCCTTATGTGCTAGTTTACTCCTTGCAAGGAGAATCACGTTTCTTCCTTACACGACGGAGCATCCCGAAATATGCAGGTAGCCCCCAAACTGCTTTCTGAAGTAGTCCCAGGAGGAAAAAGCAAAGAGTCTGTACCGCTTGGTCTCTTTCTTCCTTTTTCTGATGTGCAAACATGTTATTTGTCAGAACTCCCTTGTTTTCAGCCTCGTCTGAAAATATTTGTGGTGTGTACTGACAATAAAATGGATGCCACACACAAAAAATTTATTAAAATCAAGATTACAAACTGTTCGCATCTGGAGAGGGAAATACAAGGCTGTGGTTTTGGTTTTATGGTATCTGGACAGGGAGAGGGGAGAGAAAATGTATAATTGTTTGGCATGTACAGTTCTGGCTGTGCATTTTAAATTAGCCACAGTTCATTATCCTGTGTCCTGTTTGCTGGGACGTGTCTTATGTGTACCTGTTAGTAAAGCATGTCCTTCATTTATGGGTCTCTTTGAACCAGTAAAAACTTGGCCAGCGTGACCTCATATAAATTAGACTTGAATGATTACATCCTTTTTACGACGAACCAAAACATCAGTAAATTGTGTGAGTTTTTGGTTTCTCCAGAAATTTTTCTCCTCTGGGAACTAAAAGTCTAATTAACACCGTTTTGCCTCCCCTTGTCCCGGGCAAAGCACGTTGGACCAAACTTGCACATTACAGACAGCCCGTCATTAGCGGAGGGAATTTCCGCAAAGGCTGACAGAGTCTGATTGCGACAGTATGAGCTTTTCATGCACCCACCCTGTACTTTGCAAAAGGAGGGTTGCAGCAGTGTTTTTGCAATCTGCTATCAGGTGAATGGAGGCTTTGTGTGCAAGTCCGAGGTCTCGGTCACGAAGGTCTGCCCAAAGCACGTCTCTCTAACACTTAACAGATTCCCGTTTCTCGTGACAGATACTTGCAGCTTTTCTAGTTAATAAGATGTTTTTAAGCCCCCCCCAACCCCAATATTCATTGCAAAAAGGGGCGGGATCTGAGACGGCTTGGTGTGCGTCTGCGGGGTGACCTCGCAAAAGAGTTAACCGTTGTTCCTCCTTAAACCTTTCCATATGGAACAGTGGCTTTTATGGAAGGATGCTGTGTCCCTATTTTATGGCAAAGCCAGCGCCGGTTGAATTAGCAGGGGCAGAATTTATGTACGGACGCGTGTCTTTCCAACCGGATACCGTTCCGCGTCACAGAGTATGCAAAACCATTCAGATCTGTGCTTCAATCTCTCTGTGTGCCTTTTCCTTAACAAACAAACAAACAAAAAAGAATGTATATAGCATTATAGAAAAATACCATAAACATAGCCCAATATATGGATTTTCAGTGATGTCTCTGCTCGGAAAATTAAAAAAGGCAGGAGGCTGGGTCGTAGAGATTAGCCCCGGTTTGGGCTTTTCATGGAGAGTATTAGGGGATGCGAATGTGTGCAAAGAAGGGGCAGTTGGGGGTCCCCAATGAGCAGTCGCTGGGGAAGGTGCTGGCGGTGGGATTCCCACCCACCACCACCACCCCCGGGATTGGGGAAGGCTCCTGAAAAAAAAAGGGAATTTACCCCTAATTTCCATGGGTGAAGCATCCGGATGTCTGATACAGGTCAAAAGTCTCTTCTAAAGGGGAGTGCTCACACAGAGAGAGAGAGACTTTCTGTCGAAGGTGGATTGGGCACCACATCATCCTCCCTGGCCCCACCCCTTGGGCAGAAGGGTGATAAATGGGGTGCTCCCAGGAGATCTCAAGCCACTGAAGGGAAGAGGCATCTCTCTCACCCGCAGGAGAAAACCCCAGGGAGAAAACCTTTGAAGTCCCCATCACACCTGAGACCAGGTACCTCTCCCTCCCTGTCTCTCTTTCTCGCTCCCCCTCCCCGCATTGCTACTCCTGGACTCCTGAGTTCTCCTTGGCAGGGGCCCGGAGGTGAGCCGCAGAGTCCAGAAAACCCCGGGTGGGGTCGTCGCTCGTTTCCCTTCTCCAAAGCGACGAGAGGCGGTCCTCTTTTTGACTACAGATCCCATCACTCCTCAGTATTTAAAAAACGAATCTGTTCTTTTGCCATCTTTTATACCAAAAGAAGCAAAATTGTAAGGTTTTTCTTTCTTTCTTTGTGTTTTTCTTTGTTTGTGTTTCTTTGTGTTTTTCAAATCCACCCTCCAGCCCGGGCTGGCCGAGATGTCCCTCCTCCGGAAACAAGTCTTTGGCCTGCTGGTTTGTCTGTGGATTCTCTGTGCCATTCTGCCGGATAAGTTTTGGTAAGCGGGAGGCCAGCGGCCAGCGATGGGCTGCATTGCCAGAAGGCCAACAGAGAGTAATAAAGAGACGAAAGAATCCTATGGCGCCAATGCTCCAGATGGACTACAGCTCCCCTCATCCCTTAGCTATAGCCATCCAAAGTCATGGGGTGTGGCACTCCACGTTTGAGGGGGGCCACAGACCCGATTTTCCCCACTTTTGCATTCCTTAAAAAATAAGGACTACACGAGGAACCCCTGTATCCATAGTTTCACTTATCTGTGGTCTGAAAATATTAGAAATACCATATTTTTCCGTGTAGAAGACGCCACCATGTATAAGACCCCACACACGCTTTTCTAATCCAAAATTAAGAAATCTAAGTGAATGGTAAGAAGATAACAATTCCAAGGGTTACTTCCAGGATTCCACCCTCCCAAGAAGCACCTCAGTCTCCTTTGGCCAGGTAGTGCTATGAAAATGTTGTGGGACACCATTAGCTTGGTCTCTCCCATCTTAGGCTCTTATTCACCTGCTCACACCATTTCCCTCTAGACTTCTGCGTCACAGGATTCCAGCCTCCTAGTCCCTATTTATTTACAGTAGGACCCCTGTATCCGCCGGATTGGTATCTGTAATTTCATTTATCCTCCAGCTAAAATTATTAAAAGAAAAAAAATGTGTATTTCCATGATGTACTTACCAGAACTGGCCACTAGAATGCACCAGAAACTAAGCCATGTGTAGGGTTTGCTCTTATCCATGGTTTTCAGTATCTGCAGAGGGACTTGGAAACCATCCCCTATGGACATGGGAGTCCTACTGTTTTAATTACATGAAGACGTCTATTACACCTCCACGCCCCAAAAGTAACAGTGCAATCAGATAGATGTCTGCTCGAAAGTAATCCCAGTGGAGTTTAATCTGTCATACTCTAGGGTTTGCTTTCTGGCGCCCTTCTATCCTCTTTCTCAACAGCACAAGCCAATTCATAGAGCCGCCACCGAAGGTTAGCGGCCGGAAGCGTGACGTTGGTGCACTGAGCCAGGCTTTCGGGGACTTCCGCCGGAAGAGACACGTGCTCCATGGGGCCAGGCACCATTCAGCCGGGCACGAGGGCCACCAGGGTCTGGCACCCTAAATGACATCGCTCAGAAGGGAAGCCGCCGAGCGCCACGAGCAGATCAATAACGTGTCCCCACTGCAGCCATCCCAGACGCCAACTGTGGTCAAAATGCAGGGGTGGGTGGGGTTTTTTTATCTTTTCTTTGCAAATAACTTCTGAGGAGATTTCCGGCCAAAGTCTTTGAATCCTAAAATTCTATTCGAAATTTTCCTGCTGGTTTTCTCCGACCTCGGATCTTCTCTGTAACGCTTCTCTCCGATTGTGAAATCAACGTATTGCATTTGAAATTTACTGTCGAATAAAGAGATCTGCTTGCACCCATCATTCCCTTCTCGTTATACAGATTTATTTGGGGAACTTCTTTACTTATGAATGTGCTTTAACGTGGCTTTTCTCATAGGTGAGAAGTGACTCCCTCCCCCCCCCCGTGTTCATTCCTGACACACAGAAGATGCGTTTGCTTCCCATCGGTTCCATTACTTTTGAAATGTACCTTTCCATCTTCTTAAACCGTCCACCAAATTGTTTTTTCTTTTTAAAGAGGGATAATTTGATTCCTGTAACGACTTGTAATGGGTCCTTTCCAAGCCCTGGTGTGATTTAGCGGCACGAAAGGAATTAAGGCAGAATTCTGCACTTGGTTACACGTGAGCAATCCTCGTTTCATTCGCTATGATCTGCAGAGGGGAGAGAAAATTTATAATGACTTGGCATGGACAGTTCTGTTGTTGTTTTTATTAAACTAGCCACAGTTCGTTACCCTGTGTCCTGTTTGCTGGGGGGTGTTTTATGTATACCTGGTAGTAAAGCATGTCCTTCATTTATGGGTTTCTTTGAACCACCCACGTGGGTTGCGCTGCGGGCTAAACTGCAGAAGCCTGTGCTGCAGGGTCAGAAGACCAGCAGTCGTAAGATCGAATCCCCGCGACAGAGTGAGCTCCCTGTTGCTTGTCCCAGCTCCTGCCAACCTAGCCATGCGAGTAGATAAATAGGTGCCACCTTGGTGGAATAGGTGGCCACCTGACTAGGGAAATTGTTTATGTACAAGCGCTGGCTCTACGGCTTGAAAATGGGATGATCACCGCCCCCTAGAGTCGAACACGACTGGACTAAAAATGTCAAGGGGAACTTTTACCTTTACCTTTGAACCAGTAAACACTTGGCCAGCGTGACCTCGTATAAATTAGAGTTGGATGATTACATCCTTATTACGATGAACCGAGACATCAGTAAGTTGTGTGAGTTTTTGGTTTCTCCAGAAATTTTTCTCCTCTGGGAACTAAAAGTCTAATTAACACCGTTTTGCCTCCCCTTGTCCCGGGCAAAGCACGTTGGACCAAACTTGCACATTACAGACAGCCCGTCATTAGCGGAGGGAATTTCCGCAAAGGCTGACAGAGTCTGATTGTGACAGTATGAGCTTTTCATGCACCCACCCCATAAAAGGAGGGTTGCAGCAGTGTTTTTGCAATCTGCTATCAGGTGAATGGAGGCTTTGTGTGCAAGTCCGAGGTCTCGGTCACGAAGGTCTGCCCAAAGCACGTCTCTCTAACACTTAACAGATTCCCGTTTCTAGTGACAGATACTTGCAGCTTTCTTAAACAATAAGATGTTTTTAAGCCCCCTCCCCACAACCCCAATATTCATTGCAAAAAGGGGCGGGATCTGAGACGGCTTGGTGTGCGTCTGCGGGGTGACCTCGCAAAAGAGTTAACCGTTGTTCCTCCTTAAACCTTTCCATATGGAACAGTGGCTTTTATGGAAGGATGCTGTGTCCCTATTTTATGGCAAAGCCAGCGCCGGTTGAATTAGCAGGGGCAGAATTTGTGTCTTTCCAACTGGATACCGTTCCATGTCATGAAGTGTGCAAAACCGTTCAGATCTGTGCTTCTGTCTCTCTGTGTGCCTTTAGTCTTTTCCTTAACAAAAATAGAAAAATAAGAATGTATATAGCGTTATGGAAAAATACCATAAAGATAGCCCAGTTATACAGATTATCAGCGATGTCTCCGTTCGGAAAATTTAAAAAGGCGGGACGCTGGGTCGTTGAGATTAGTCCTGGTTTGGGCTTTTTGTGTAGAGTATTAGGGGATGAGAATTTGTGCAAAGAGGGGGCAATTGGGGGTCCCCAATGAGCAGCCCCTGGGAAGGTGCTGTCGGCGGGATTTATAATGACTTGGCATGGACAGTTCTGGCTGTTCTTTTTAAACTAGCCACAGTTCGTTATCCTGTATCCTGTTTTCTGGGAAGTGTCTTATGTATGCCTTTTGTCCTTCATATATGGGTCTCTTTTAACCAGTAAAAAATCATTCCGGGGGTTTGTTTCACTCTGTTTACAGCCAGAAACGGAGGACAACTTTGCCGTACAAATTAGACTTGAATGATAATGTTCTTATTCACCCCGAGCAAAACATCAATAAAACATGTGAGTTTCGAAATCCTCCAGAACTTTCTTCCTCTGGAGGTGAAATATCTAGCTCATAGGTCGGGGAACAGGGGTAAATTACCCCAAATGGGGTAAAAGTGAAAATCCTGGGGTAATGAACATTCTCTTTCCCCCTCATTAAGAGGTTCTTTAAGTGCTCCTCACTTTCTGCCATGCTTTGGCGTAGTCAATGAAGTAGAAGTAGATGTTTTTCTGGAACTCTCTGGCTTTCTCTATAATCCAGTGCATGTTAGCAATTTGGTCCCTAGTTCCTCTGCCCCTTTGAAATCCAGCTTGTATTTCTGGGAGTTCTCGGTCCACATACTGCTGAAGCCTGCCTTGTAGGATTTTGAGCATAACCTTGCTAGCATGTGAAATGAGTGCAATTGTATGGTAGTTGGAGCATTCTTTGGCCCTTCCCTTCTTTGGGATTGGGATGTAGACTGATCTTTTCCAATCATCGGGCCACTGCTGAGTTTTCCATTGATGATGATAAAAAAAGCACACTGATCCTTTGATATTGGGCTGTGGCACCAGGGTGTATGACATGACCTTTAGCCTGGTTTGTTCCTTTTTGCACACCACACATAGAATGATTAAAGTGGTAGGGAAAGCCCACCCCCCAATTCTGCGTTAGCTATCTCTAGCAAGCATGTCATTGCTAGGACCACTCTGGGAGCCATTGATGATGATTAAATCCTCTGCAAGCTAGCAAAAATTTAATGCAACTTGCTAGGCACGTTGGACACCGTACTACTCCCTATACCACACCATGGCTGGAGTGCAATGTGTTTCAGCAAAAATAGTGCACATCTTTATCAAATTTGGTGCATCCTGCTAGTTCGGTACACAGCCTGTGTAGATTCGATAATATTTTTAATTCAAATAATGTATGATTTCCTTCCTTTCGAATCAAGGGGGTAATGTCGGCATATATAAATTTTTGGGGGGGTAAAAGGTAAAAAAGTTCCCTGACCCCTGATCTAGCTAAACTCAGAGTTTCTCCCCCACCCCCCGGTTGTCCTAGCTAAAGCACCAAATTCCACATTACAGATAACCCATCCTTGGCAGAGGAAATTTCCGGAAGAGCTGAAAACATCTGATTGCCACAGCACGAGCTTTCTTAAGAAGGGGCAGTTTTATTCCCACCATGACTTTACTTATGTTATTTCCAATCCATGGTGTGATTTAGCAGTGTGAAAGGGATTAAGGCTGACGCGGACATTCGGTTCGATGTGAGTAACCCCTCATTTCACTCACTAGGACTTACTCTGAGTAGACATATAAAATCCCAGTTTGGATACTCTCACCCCTTGAGAGATTACATTATTCTTTCAGAGGAATACTCTGGCACTTTTAAAATAAAAGTTAGCCAGCTAACTACCAGGGGTGGGGATTTGAATCGCGGGAATTGCTGTCAAGTTGGACTTAAATTGGATACTGGGGACGCAGCTGGGGTTTTATTTTTTCCCCAATGATTCGAACTCGAATCGTGACTCAGAACCCACTCACCGCTCCCTGTTTTTCTAGGGGGTGGGGAAACTCGTTATTTTTTTTAATAAGGATTCAGATTTATGCCTTGGGACTCAGGACCATCCAAAGATGTGCCAGTATCCCATAACACAACCACATTCTCTTCCACCTCCAGGCCTCAGTTTGCTTCCTCAACCCCCCCCCCCCCCAAGAAGATTTCCTCCTTCGACATCAGAGGAAAATGGAGTGTGTTTCGGTGCTTAAAGATGTGATTGCATCCTCATGGGTTTTGCTTACCGTGTCTGACAAAGAGGGAGAGGTACAGGAACAGACCAACCAGCCGTGGGTCCGATTCTGACGGCCTGTCCCAAATAGGCAAAGAAGCGAATTCAAATTAGAGAACAGAAAATAAAGGGGATGTTCTCGCTCTCGATTCCACCTCCTCCTGTCCGAAGATGTGTGAAAAGCCCTTAACGCCCATATGTGAAAGTTCATTGTGGGCAAACCTCTTTAAATACAGTGGTGCCTCGCTTAATGGGTGCCCTGTTTAATGACGAATCCGCATAGCAATTAAGTTTTTGCTGTTTCGCTTACCGATTTTTGCATAACGATGTTTTTCCAACAGCTGATCGGCAGTTCCAAAATGGCCGCCGGGTTAAAAAAATGGCCGTCCGCTGTGTTTTCGCGCCGATTCCTCGCTTATCGGGCAGCAAAAATGGCGGCCGTATGGAGGATTTTCACTTAAAGGTGAGTTTTTTGCCCATAGGAACGCATTAAATGACTTTTAATGCATTCCTATGGGCTTTTTTATTTCGCATAGTGACGAATCCGCATAGCGACGATTTTGGCTGCACGGATTATCGACACTATGTGGGGCACCACTGTATATCACAGCTACAATTAAGAAACTCATTTTACAAGTGTGGTTCCTTCCGTCCCGCTGTCACAAAGGAGCCCTGTTTCCCCAAAAATAAGACCTCACCTGAAAATAAGCCCTAGTAGGATTTTTCAGGATAAATAAATAAATAAATAAATAAATAAATAAATAAATAAATAAATAGCTCAGGTTTGGGACTCGGGTTTTAGGACCAAAGACTCGGACTTAGGATTTGCACCCAAAGCTTTGTGCATGGAGTTAAACACTCATGCAACGCAGGGTCACGGGCAGAAATAAATGGCTCAGGTTTGGGACTTGGGTTTTAGGACCAAAGACTCGGATTTAGGATTCGCACCCAAAGCTTTGTGCATGGAGTTAAACACTCATGCAACGCAGGGTCACGGGCAGCCTTAACAGGAGACAAACTCGGACACCATACAACCCACACATGCACATCTGGCCTTATTATTGTGTGGGGGGGTATGTGTGAAGAGCTTCCGGAAAGAACTGCAGTGCAGACGGTGTGATTTTAACACAGGGGATCGAGGA